GTCTGTCCGGAAAGTATCCAGCCATTGTGAATATTGTGAGAACTGGTCTCGCGGCCTTGATGTAACTTGGCAGCTACTCGGAGAGGACCGTACTGCGCATGCGTGAACATTCACACTCCCGTGGAACAACTCAGTTGCCCGGCAGACGCCGTTGAGTGAGCATGGGTACTGTGTGACCGTCGCATTTACAATGACCAAACAATAACGAAGGAGTACTACATCAAAGTTCTTCGCCGGCTGAGGTATGCAGTAAGAAGAAAACGACTGCAGCTATGGGCAAGTGGTGACTGGCAGCTTCATCATGACAACGCGCCTGCCCATTTTTCACGTCTCATGCAGGTTTTTTTGGCAAAACATCACATCACCCAGGTCTCTCAGCCCCCCTACAGCCCAGATTTGGCTCCCTGCGACTTCTGGCTTTTCTCAAAGCTAAAATCGCCGTTGAAAGGGAGGAGATTTCAGACCGTGGACAAGATTAAGGAGAATGCGACGAGGCAGCTGATGAAGATCCCGAAAGAGGACTTTGCAGACTGTTTTGAAAAGTGGAAGGGACACTGGGAGAAGTATGTGAGGTCCCAAGGGGAGTACTTTGAAGGGGACTAAGGCGCCATTGTCCTAGGTAAGCAATATTTTTTTAATAGTAAATGGCTGGATACTTTCCGGACAGACCTCGTACGTTCTATAGCTGTCTTTAACTTATCAAGAAGCTCCTCACTCCTACACTGGCCAATATCGTTGCCTCCTGCAATGAGGCAGATAATGGGTTTGTTCCCATTTGGAGACAAGATATTTTTGTCCATCCTGTCATCTATATCCCCCACCCCAGCTCCTGGCAAACAAACCCTCATCCTATTTTTATTTTTACCACAAAAGCTCCATCCAGGTACCGTACCTGGGAATCGCCAACAAATAAGGTTTTCGTACCTTCCTTGTCAGCCCTGTCCCTGACTATGCTGACGTCCAATTCGTCTATCAAAGGACTAAAAGAGTTTTTACACTTATCTGTTGTCGTTTCCTTAATGTCTTTTCTCAATACCATTTTGGTTGTTCCTCTTCTCACAACCTTCCATTCACCTGAGTTTTCGTCAGACACTGGCTTTCCATGTCTCATGTCTTCTTCCTTCATCCTCGCTATCACTTCCTTTAATTTCAAGTTTTCTTCTTTAACCTTCACGAGCTAGGCCCTCAGAAGGGCACAGCCCTGTTCACAAGTAGCACTAGCCATTACTGACAATTTATCCCCGGGAGCTAAGTGTGCCGTGACCTTTCCTCTAGTGAGGTCAGACCACAACTGAGCGAGGTCAGAACATGGGTCACATACAGGAGGCACCTCAAGGCACTTGAAAACTTTCACCAACGTAGTCTACGTTCCATTCTCAGAGTTTGCTGGGAAGTCAAGAGAATAAATGCCAATATTCTTGATGACACCAACTGTAGGAGCATCGAGGCTACCATTATCCATGAACAACTCGTTGGACTGGCCATGTTACCCGTATGGACGACAGTAGGTTGCCAAAGCAGCTACTTTACAGTCACCTCACGAATAGTAAACGTAATGCCGGCGGGCAATTGAAAAGTTATAAGGATAGTCTTGAGACAAACCTGAAAAAATGCCGAATCGACCCCCTCACCCGGGAGTCGATTACTTCACATCGTAACGCTTGGAGGAGCACCACACGAGATGGTGTCAATACTTTTGAGTTAGCCCGACTGCAACCTGAGGCAGACGCGCCAACGCCGGAAAGATGCTGCCACCGCCCCTCCTGCACTAGATGCAGCCCTCCACATGTGCAACGAATGAGGATGACCCTGCAGGTCCCGTATCGGCCTCTTTAATCGCCTCAAACTCACCAACTTAAGTGACGAACTTAATAAGTCATATCATTGTATCATAGCTGGATGATCGTCATACTCGATTCCAAGTGACAGCAAAGTAGTAGTCGTGTGTATGTATGTGTGTGTGTGTGTGTGTGTGTGAAGTGTAAAGTGTAAAGTGTAGTGTAGTGTACTGTAGTGTAGGGTGTGCATTGTCAAATAAATAAATTGTACAATTTATTTGTTTTGGAAAAAACTGGTGTTTTGCCAGCATATGAAATTGCTGTGCCCTCCAAGTGAGAATTTTCTGGTGACACCACTTGTCCTACATATTGTTCTTGATATTTTTGTCAAATTATAAATGTAATAATGCTTATTTCTGTGAGACCGTGGCTCTAAAATGTCCATCAAACATTAGTGATGAGAGTGGGAAAAATTACTTTACAAGTGAAACTTAGTGTTAAATGGGCTGGGTATTGGTGCCATGGCAGGTGGACCCAATTTGATTTCAGTGAATCTTTGGTGAGAACAATTATGAAGAATACAAACCACCATTATAATTGTATGTATAATGTATTAAAATTATGGATGTGTATATTACAGGTAAGTAAGCATTAAATTTAGGTACCACTTAACAAGTAAGATACATTCCTGAAATTGTGGTTACCGTAAGGAATTCTTTATTCATTGGGAACAGTTTTCCTAGAGGATCCCGTGTTAAAAACTGATATGCATTCAAGTCCAAATTTTTTTTAGCCAATTCCTATGGTATAAATTTGAATGCACTCCAGCCCAATGAATTTTGGCCCTGCAATAAACCACTGGTGTGGTACGTGCACATGAACATCACTACAAATGGCATTATATTATCATGTTGCATTACTCTCCATCCCGGACATAAATGCAAGCAGGAAATGGCCGCTAAGTGCTTAGTGACCATGAGTGCTAGCCGTCAAAACAACACTGTCCCCTTATCCCCCTCGCCACTGCTGCCCCAGGGAAGTTTCTAGAGGGTCAATATATAGTGTTTCTTACTTCTTTTTTTATAGTTTTATCATTTAAAAAGGTTAACAATTATTTTTGGAAAAGTTGATTTTTCTCAATTTACCCCGCGTGGGGGATATGGCCAGCAGCACCCTAGCCCGGGGCGTAGGAGTTATGTAGCAGCTGCTGTGAGAAGAACCTATCACAAATCATATGCTAACTAAAAAATATTGTCTATCAAAGCATTCCTTACAAAATTTAAAAATTTTATTGGCTAGGAAACAGCATTTATGAGCATCTGTCTAGCTTGCAGTGCATTGTGGGTGTGGCATCAGCCCATAGAATGTTAAAGGGAGGTGGGAAGCGAGAAAATGTATAATTACAATTTTAACGGGTTACTGCAAATTGTAATATATGTACAATACTGTAAAGACTAACTGCTTAATTTTTTGCATTTATATTTAAATATTCATATGTTGTAAACACAAATGTGCTCTGAGCAGCAACCAATGTAAACACATTTGTCTTTGTCCCACACTCTACCTTGCACTGCCAGTCACACCAAATAGCCAAATTTTCCCTTATTTACTCTTTTTAAAGTTTAACAGTACATGTTAACAAAATGTAACAATATTATTCTACTTCCTTATTTTATTTGTAAAGTATTGCTAATTAACTTGGAGCTGAAGTGTTTAAAGATGAATAGCATAGGATGAAGAAGTGGAGGGTTGAGTCAGCTGGTAGGTGTATGCACCTACCAGCATCTCAGAGACAAAACAATCTTTGATCCTGAGTACTTTATATATTGCACAGTATTGTATTTACATTACACCCCTCAATACCATAATTTTTGCATTTGTTTTAAGACATTTTAAGGTAGAACACCTGGTTAAAATTCACAATGTTTTCCAAGTGATAAAAGAGAGCTGTGGACAGCAGTGACACTGATCTGCGCTGTGCCCAGAAAATAAATGCCACCGTGTTGTCTAGGCTCATTGGCTTGTCAGGCTGGGTTATTCTGCCACTGCCTTCACCTCAGGAGTATAGAAAATGAATCGGATTTCGATAGCCTGGCTCATGCCTATGTAAAGACAAAGGATAACTATCCTGACTCCATGAATGATAATGCGAACTGGATCACTCAAAATTTTTATTGCTAAATTGAATACAAGTTTGTTCATTGACTTTTCATACCCTAAAACACTTAGACCATTAAGCCTAATTCTTGTTCATTCAGTATGCATTCTGCTGGATCTTCCTTTATTAAATGTACTTAGGGATAGCAAAGGTAAAATACTGTACACTGGAATTACAGTATAGGTGTCTAGGGTCACAAGGCACATCTAAGAAATTAGCACAAACTTTTGCTTAGCATGAGTACCTCAGGAACACATCTTCCACACAAGTGGAGTCCCCCTAAATGTCCATTTCTGGATGCCTCCAGCAAAAATGAGATATAAAAAGTGTCATAGAATTTAAGGAATGGGCTCAGAGCAATCAACCTTTTATCTTTGCATACTTTATACCCAGATCCCGAATGGACTGCCATATACCGTTAACTTCTCATATCTCATTTGCACTTATGAAACTGTGATGCAAAGGGGAGAAATAAAGGCACTGTTTTACTTCTAGCAACCACAAATGTGGTTTTCATGGGGTTAGGCCTTTTTATGGCCTTACATAACTGTGGGGTTAGGCCTATCTGTGGATCTACATCACTATGGATCATGACACTATAACCACACCTAAAGTAATGAGGTAGTTAGCCAATTTTGTTTGATGCAAATTGGTGATGTGCTTGAGAAAACTTCCTGTAAGTACCCCTAGTGAACTCCACCTTATTTCCTTAGACTTAATGAGATTTCTTTTATGACTGATGCCTCTTGTTATGTTGCATGAGAATGTTAACCCCCATGTGTTAAGAGTTCTTAGCTTAAAGAAGGCTGTGTGTTTTTGTTTGTTTTTTCTTCATGAAATATAGTACAGCTCCGTTAGAGTCTTTAATACATATTTTAAATTCCCCAGGAAATAAAGTCTGAAGAAGCCACCAGTGATGTACTTTACTTTTAAAACAGTAAACTGTTCCATTATCACACACATTCAAGAACACCATGAATCATGGAAGTATTTTGAACACTTGAAACATATTTCCCTCAAAAATAAATATATAACAAATTTGGAGGATTTATGTAATAAGCTAGTTAAAAAGCTTCTTTATTATATATGCTAAAAACTATTTACATGGGGACAGCACAACTTTAACAAGTCACCAAAATTGGTGATGTCACCAGGGCAGTCAGTGCCACAAGGCCTACTCTTAAAACATATTACAATAAACTCTAATAACCTGTAAGGAAATTTGTACATTGAAACAGTACACAGAACACATGAGGATTCTTTCTCACACATCTAATCATTAAAGTTTTTATTTAATAAAAATTCATCCTTAATGTATCTAATAATACATTAGTAACAAAAGAAAAAAAAGCAAACTAGTCTAGAAGAGCTTGATGTCACTGTTGCAATGGAGGCAAATTTACATTGATAAAGCCTGCAAATGCATCACTGGTAGAATTTGCATGTGCCATAATGAAGGAGTGTTCCAATAGACGCATGTAGTTTGGCCGCAGTTTGTAGTCTTTGACTAAGCTGTAAAAAAAAAACAAAAAAAAAAAACAATGTTAATATACAGTACAGTAAACTCCCTCTAACCCGGATCCCCTTGCAAACCGGACTGGGATCCAGCACTGGATATGCATATACCCCAACTGGAAAAACACAACCAAAATCTTGTTAATACTGTATGGGGAAAAGTTCACGTAAGCTGGGACTGCCAAGGAACACTAAAGTGAAGTGTCTTAAGAAATATAAATAATGTACAGTACAGAACATATAATCAATGAAATTAGCAGTGAAAATATAACCTTCGCTCCACGTTCTGTAACGTACAGTCCTGGACGAAAGTTCTCAAAACAGTCAGAGTGGGAGGTGTAAATTCAGTTTACCCTTACTGGACGACAGCGGGTCCGCTGTCCTGCCATTGCCTCCCTCCCTACACACACACACAAATAAGTACCCTCGCAGTTCAACAATCAAACTCTGATATTTTCATTTTTCAATAAGGATTAGGGAAGGATGTTATTGTTTTGTTAATAAATTCACAAAACAAATTACTCAATCAGGTGTTACATTATTTGACATAATAGGTACATTATTATTCGATAATTATGACCTAGTGCAGATTGTCATCCGTTGTAGGGATCAAGCCAAGGTTACATGTAGTAGGCCCTATGATAAGGCCATTATCACGGAGGGTGATAAATCAATCTCTTATGAACCGTATTATTCCACACTTTCATGCTTAATTTTCTGGCTACCATTCTGAGGGACAATACAGCTTGGAGGATTTTGATATCGTTGAAACCCCAGCCACCAAAACACACACTGCACTTTGTCATGATTATCTAATAATGAAGTAACCTCTTATGTCAAATAATGTAACACTTGATTGAGTAACTTGTTTTGTGAATTTATTAACAAAATAATGACATCCTTCCCTAGTCTTTATTGAGAAATGAAAATATCAGAGTTTGATTGTTGAACTGCAAGGGTGCTTTTGTGTGTGTATGTGGGGAGGAAGGGAGGCGATGGCGAGACAGCGGACCCGCCGTCCAGTAAGGGTGGGGGGGACTTTACATCACCCACTTTGACTGTGAGAACTTTCATCTGGGACTGTACATTGTGACTCATAATTATAATCTCCTGCCTCAACCGCCTCATGATTATTATTAACATATTCTATGTGCTTCTATTTTTAATAAACAGGCATATTAAAGTCCAGCAATAATGGACATCAAATAAAACAATCTTCAAATTTTTACGATTTTCTTATCACTCCCATTATATTAAGTCACGGTCACAAGTGAAAATATTTATGGCTATTGAAAAAGTTTATAAACTTGTATTCACAGCATCTGTTTTAATTGTGGTTGAAAGATGATTTTGGTCCTATAATGATCTTGAATAAATTCTGTACTGAGTTGTTTCAATAAATGATGCTTAAACAAAATATTTTGACATATAATGAGGGGGACCCAATTTTTTTATGAGAAAAAAGTAAGAAAATATTATACCGGTGTCTACAAAATCAGTTCTAATTAAGATAGAATCTTAAAACACCATTTTGTTTTACAAATAATCCTGAATAGGTTATCTAAATTTTGTTTACACACACACAGTACATACATACTGTGCATACATACATACATACTGTGCATACATACTGTACATATACGAGCAAATAAACAAAATACTACAGTACTGTACAGTATAGTCTCAATTTATGCTGTCAATCCGTGGAGGTCTGCGTAAACCGAGAAACGCGTAAACGAAATAACAGAACATATGGGATTAAGTGAAATGGAGACTGGGCCGATCCCAAAACTACACTTTTTCCGACACAATATGTAGTTGTAGTAAAAATAACATCTTAATTTTATGATGGTATGCACACACAATTAATATTTAAGAGAAATACAGTTGCCGGTTAATGTCCATTCAAATAATGGAGTCAACCCCCCCTGCCTCTTCCCACGCTCACTGGCTCCCTCCCTCCAAGAGAAATGTTTGGGGAAAAGGACTAGGCTTTTAGGTTAGCAATAAATAATACCTCAGACTGGAAGGCCCATGTAAACAACACAGTCAAGGCAGCCTCGTACCATCTCTACATGCTAAGACGACTTAGGTCACTTGGGACACCCACGCCAGAGCTGAGGACTATCTACAACGCCTTTATTCTCCCCAAACTAACGTATGCATCACCAGCCTGGTCGTCTTCTCTCAACTCCTCCCAACAGCGTTGGCTAGAGACGGTACAGAAAAGGACCTGCAGAATCATGCTCGGCGCAGAATACTCTGGCTACATCAACGCTCTCTCCACCCTGGAAATGCCATCCCTCAGTGACCTCCACCACCAAGCACTGGAAAGGTTTGGCAGCCAACTAATGAACCACCCTCGTCATCGCCACCTCCTGCCACCGGCAGCCCCCACCCACCTCGCGCAGTCCGCTACTACAACAAAATTCAACCCATAAGAGCCCGCACCAATAGATATAAGAATCGCACCATCCCATTTATTGTTAAAATAATAAACAACTCCTGATTTATATACTGTACAGCCCTGTAAATGGATTCAACGCATATTATATCATTATGTCTAAATCAAATGTAAGTCTGTATATTTTCAGCCACCGGCTGCAATTCTATTAATAAACCGTTTATCATTATTATTATTATTTATTATTTAGACGGGTGACAGTACTCCAGATGGGGAAGCACTTCACTCTTGAAGATCGTTAGGAGGGACGGACCGTCTAGATATCTGAACGACCTTCTTATAAGACCCAATAATTTATTTGCCTGATTTATCTTCTTCTCACAATGGCCCGAGAACTTGAGCTCATTGTCAACATATACACCTAGGTCCTTCTCACATCAGTCTCAAATACAGTATAGTCTGGATTTACGCGGATTTTGTTTACGCGTTTGGTCATTTACGCGGTGCCTTGCCAAAATGAAATGTTTTAATTACGTGGTAAATTTCCTCAATTACGCGGGAAGCGGCGCGGGCAGGGTGCGCAAAAGGTCGCCCAGTCATCAAAACATTACCTAGTTCTTCACCCGCCACACATCACAGCCGGCCCAAGTCAGTGATAGTGAGGATATGGACTTTGAGGGGTTTGACAAAGAGGCCCTGAAAGCATCTGTGGTGGATAGTGATACAATTGATACAAGTGATACAGGTGAGGGCCAATAATCTGCCCTCTGCCTCGGAACCAACCCCCCCCATCCCCGTGTGCCCAGCCATCTTTTCTACTAACGTAAGTGTTAAAAAACCTAATATTATTGATATTTCTCTTAAATATTAATTGTGTGCATACCATCATAAAATTAAGATGTTACTTTTACTACAACGTATGTATTGTGTCGGAAAAAGTGGAGTCTGGGGGTCGGCCCAGTCTCTATTTCAATTAATCCATATGTTCTGTTATTTTGTTTACGCGTTTCTCGTTTTACGCGGACCTCTACTATACTGTAGTGCAGTTTCTTCATCCCGTTGGGACATATGATACACCTCCTTACCGTTAGTACGCCCAAGGTGCATCCTCTTACACTTCGTGACATTGAATCTCAACAGCCATTTCTTTGACCATTCTTGGAGCCCACAGAAGTCCTTCTGCAGCTCTTCACAGTCCGCTTGGTTCTTGATTTCCCGAAATAACTTGGCGTCATCAGCAAACATTTGTATGGAGGAGTGTACAATGTCAGGCATGTCATTTATGAAACAAACAAACAACAGCGGGCCCAATACACTGCCCTGTGGTACCCTGCTTGTGACAGGTACGGATGATGATTTCATGCCATTGATCACCACACACTGCTTGCGGTCATGTAGAAAGTCTTCTATTGCTGATCAGGCTCACCGGTCTATAGTTGTTCGTGGAGTGACGATCGCCCTTCTTGAAGATAGGACTCACATAAGTCACTTTTCATTCACTGGGGACCTTTCATTCATCCAGGCATTTACAAAACGGGATCATCAGGGGCTCGGCAAGCTCGTTGCTCAACTCTTTTAACACTCTAGGATGCACCATGTCAGGGCCGGGACTCCTATGGACCTTTAGCTTTGACAGTATATTTCTAATACCCTCTTCTGTGAACACAATGTGGGTCAGTGCTGTGTCAAACCGTCTGTCCTCAAATAGCAGGAAGGTTAATCGCATCCTCTCTTGTGAACACCGAGGAAAAGAAGCTGTTCAATGCCTCGGCTTTATCCTGGTCAGAATCTGCGTAACTACCATCTTCAAGCCTCAGGTCTGATACTCCTACTCGCGTTTTTAATTTCGACTTTGCATAGCGGTAAAACGCCTTTGGGTTTGACTTGACCTCGCTTGCAGTGTAAAGTGTTATGGATCTGCATACACCCTGGTTTATTTATTAATCATTTGTCTAAGTACAAGTAGCCAAACTGAGTCATCCTATAACACTCAAAGGCAGTAAATAACGTTTTTAGGAAGATATCTTCATATCAAATACTATACAGTGTGTTATAGTGACCCTTGTAAGCTGGTCTACTGAAAGCTCACACGAACGCATCTAAACCTTTTGATACAGCTTATCCTTTTATTTTCAAGTCATATTACAAATTACATACAGTATTGTATTTTTCTCTTTACTAAGAATATAATACTGTACTGAATCAATAAATAAATAAGCCTGACAAATGTGGTAACACCTGATCAGCCCCAGCCTGCTTACAAACTGTTTTAGTTTTCAGTAAGCCTATAGTAAATCTGATGAGACTACTGTACAGTATTCAGTAAGGGTGGATCATTTCATCAGATTTTTGTATATTTAATCTCCCCCCCCCCCCTTTTTTTAATAGTATTTCTCGGGACCAGAGCATCTCAGAGCCTGAAAAAAGTGAATTCCGATACAGGTACACCACCGATTATCCGGGAACTGATGGTCCGGCACCTCCTTTAGTCCGGACAAAATTATGAGGGGCATTTAACTTCCCTCCAGCCTGGGTGAAGGTAGTTTTAGGCCTAAAGTTTTTATCTTATAAAATGTAGCTGACTAGACTTAGG